ATTTGGTGGAGGTCGCAAACATCACATCACGCATGCATGAGGCATAACCAGGTGGCCCGTGCACCTCCCACAACATCTTTCGGAGCAGCCACAGACAGCACGAGTGGGAAAGTGACAACACAATAGCACACGTAAGAAAGAAAAAAAAATAAAAATAAAAAAATAAGGACAAAGATAAAGATATAAAGGAAAAGAATTTGTCCAACAGCAATGTGACCTTATTCTCTTTTCAGTAAGCATTCATGCACGCTCCTTCACTCTCTTTTTTTTCTTCCTTTTTTCCTTTCTTTATGTCGTTCCGGTGTGTGTGTGTGTGTATTTTCCCGCGCTCGTGTATTCTTCCGGGGGAGCTCCTGAGGTTGTACTAATAAATCTATGTCCCGACAGATGTCATGTCTCGGGAGTATTGCTGGAAACAACACCGAAACATGCACACCTGCAGAGAGAGAGGGAGAGAGAGAGAGAGGGACAGGCAAGGAGAAAATAGGGGGTTAGGGAATCAATGAAACAATCATCAACAGCGCACAAAGAAAACCTCGTTTCTTCCCCCCCTTTTTTTTTCCTTTGAGATATAAATATAAATATAAATAAATGAATAAATAAATAAATATATATATATATATATGTTGGGGAAAAGCCGTTGACGGACATTTTGGAGTCAACAATGCAGGAAGATTTACTCCCACAGAATACAACAGCAAAAACAAAAACCACCTGACATTGAAAAGAGAAATAAACGTAAGAACTAACATACATATACGTATATATATATATATTCTTTGTGACATCTGCAAAAATATAATTAAGCCTCCTCCAGTTCCACCAAAACAACACCCCCAGTTCCCCACAGCCACAGCCTTCTCTCTCTTTCCTTCTATATGTAGATATATATATATATATTTCCAAACTTCATTGCTTCAATGGTTACCATCTAACAAAACCACATCTCTATGGAAATAAGATCTCAGCCACAAGAGAAAGTGGTCGAGACAAGACAACAATCATGGGGATAATAATAATCATTCAATTGCTATTCCTTAACACTCCTACTTCTTGGAATTTATGCCATGCGCCACACTGCCGCTGTTGCTACTCCCATTGACACCAGTAGCAGCATTAGACGACACGCCTGCGGCGGATGTGCTCGAAACGGAAGGCGATGATGATGGGGATGAGGCTGAGGAGCCGCTATTGCCTTTTCCCTTCGAGGCCCGTTTCTTTAATATGCGTTCCGCTTCACGATCCTCCTTCTCCTTGTACCATGCCTTCTTCTTTTCCCGCAACATCTGCCGTATGTTCTTCCCCTCCAACGTCCGTGGCGTGGGAGCCGAAGGGAAAATAACACTTCGGCAGTTACTTGTCCCGCAGCTACACGCAAAGGGTGGCATATTTTCATCGCACAGCGTTGCGTAGTCGACAGTCAATTCCTCTCCCACGTTTATTCTGCGCTTCGAAACAAGAGTGAGTGTACGACCCTGCATAAACTGCATATTTGGTTCACACGAGTGCCGAATTGCCACCGCCTGGTGCGGTCGATCTCCACGAAGAATGACGCAGCCAACTGTGGGGTCTTCCTCGCCCAATTTGTAGAGCGCCTGAGCAACGACAGGAATGGGGTGAATGGCGTCGCTAAACAGACTTTTACCAGCGCGCACAGTTTTGCTTGCACGTGTGGAGAAGTTCCCCTTGGAGTCATGACTGATGAAGTACCACGGGCGACGTGCCGCCTGCTCCCGCACCGCACGAATGATAGCGTTGCGGATGAAACGGTCATGGTCCCATGACTTATCGCCCTGAACCATCACATCTGCAAAGTCACCCCCGTCCTTCTGATTGTACCACATCCCACAGTTTGGGTTGATCTCCAAAAAATACACGTCGCCCTTTGGGTCAATGCGGAAGTCAACACGGCCGTAACCAACTCCATTCATGATGTGACGAAATGCGTTGCGGGCCGTGTCAATGATTTGCGGGTAGGCGGGGTCGTTGTGCGGCAGGAAACTGTAGGCGTTTTCATTGCACTCCATCGTCCACTTCTTCTCAAAGTATGCAAAATCATCGTCGTTCTGTAAAAACTTAAACATGAGTGGCTTAAAGACCTTCACACCAAAAAGGCTCCCGCGGTCCGCGCAGGCGAGAACGGTGCCCTCACGGCCGCGAATAAACTCCTCGACGAGCGCGTGGTTAAATTCCGCCAAAAAGGCTCGCACCTTCACTTTGAGTTCATCCAAAGTGTCGCATCGATTGTCCTTGTGAATGCCAACAGAGGCGTACCCGGAAAGATGTTTCACAATGACGGGAAACCGCAGGTGGCGACACTTCTTTGCCAGCCCCTCCGTGCTCTCCAGAAGCACAAAATTAGGCGTGTTCACACCCGCCGCACCAACGAGGAGCTTCATGTCAATCTTGCTGGGCTCAAAACTATGCGAGTCTGTGCCCGTGAATGCAGCGTTGTGTTCCTCAAGCGCCTCCACCACTTCAACGCCCGCCCGCTTCTCATCCTTCCCACCATCACAAAGATTGAAAAAGACATCAAAGTTGTTTGATGTCACCAATTCCCGCACCCGAAGATAGGACTCGCTCTTCCGCAAGGAGACCTCCGTAAATGTATACCGTTTCTTGTCTTTCACCCAGTGCGCAGGACTGCAGTGATAGTTGTCAATATCAGCCGTCACAGAGTCGCTGCCCTCGTAACTACTGTTGAGAACACACACACGAAGCTTGGGTGTCGCCATTTTTTTTTTCTTCGGCTCGAGCTTTCTTTTTATGCGACGAGAATTTACCGCCCTACTCGCGGTCACGGTAGGGGTGGTGGAAGAAGTTGTATTGGCCCCGCCACTCGCCGCATTGCGTGATGCTCCCCCGCCTATGTGTGCAGACGCCGTGTTTGCCACTGACACCGATTTCTTCACTTGCTTTTTCTTCAGACCTGCCTTTCGTTTCAACACCTTCTTCGTCTGTTTTTTTCGCCTCAGCCAGGAGACGCCACCGCTGTTATTCATATTCCCATTGCCGCCGCCGCTACTCCCACCACCATCGCTCCCACCGCTGTTGCAAACATTACTGTTATTGCTGTTGTTGTTATTGGTGCCAGATGCATGGGACACCGTCATGGATGCCGTCGCTCCGTTATGGCTGCTATTGCCGCTCAAGTGCCCCGCGGTGGATGGACTGCCCGTGACTTGTCCGCTGCCTGCATGCGACGTCCCACTCCCATGACCCCGACTCGAGCCAGCACTCTTTTGCGGCGTAGTCGCAGGGGCGCTAGACGCCTTGTAGCGTCTCGATTCAAATCTGGCTGCTCTTGCTGCTGTAACCATCATTGCCGACCACGCAGTCCCACACATGGCGGCTGAGGGAACTGCGTAGCAGGCTGCGATAGCTACGCCTGAGCGCTGTAGGGCTAGTCTGAGCATCACTGCGGCCACAGAGGAAACTCACTCCTCCCCACACACCCTAACCCACAGAAACAAAAAACTCAATGAGGAAAAAAGATAGAAATAGCACCAAAGTGAGCTCAAAGGACAAAAATGATTTGAAAAGACATGGCTCGTGCCCCTTTTCAAACAAACAGCAAAAAGGAATACCCGCTCCGCATCAAGTAACGAAAACAACCACAACAAATCATCTAACATCACTGCTGGCCTAGAATTATACAAATAACAAAAACAGAAAAACAAAGGGGAAATAATACGATAAAGTAAAATAAAACAAAAACACATTTATGTTCATAGAATTTTACTCAAATATATAGAAAAAGGCGTGCATACGGGGAGCATGGCCCTATTGCTGTTTCACGTCCACACTCACGTGCTTGCTCAGGAAGACACCGGCGTACACGTGCTCGCTGCTTTCCAAGAAAGGCTTCGCGGCGTAGCAACAACAGAGTCCGTCGCACGCGGCTCAAACGCCGATACACGGTGCGTCAGAGATCGTCTTCCACATCTGTATTTTGCTTCGGCCTCCCGGGGCGCACTCGACCGATGATCGGAAGGCCCAAGGGGTCCTGCAGCACCGCCTCCCTGCCATTTCGCCACTGGAACCGCAGCACGCGCGAGTAGTTTTTGCCTCCCCAGTGCGTGTTGTCAAAGTTCTGCTCCGCAATGTACAACAACCGGGGCTGCAGCCGCAACTTCCGAAGCTCACGGAGTCGGTCCTCCCCACCCGCGGCCTCCACATCATCCTCCACCTGCACCACAACGGCAATGTGGCCCTCGGGCAGGTCGCGTTCTTCCATCGGTGACCACACAACGACGTCAAAGACCCGTGGCGCAAGGCGCTTGCGTTCCTTCGCCGTCGTGGCCTCCGCGGAGTTCAGCAGCTCGAGAGTTTCGTACTCCCGTTCCCTCACCATGGGCCCGTGGAACTCAAGCGCCAACCAGTACTCGGGGGCATCTGGCGCCCCATAGATGAAGGACATGCCTCGGTGCAGATAGTAGGTGCGGGCAATGAACTCCGCCGCCACCCAGCGGACCCCGGTGCTGCGGGATCGCAGGGTCCCCAACAAAAAAGGCTCCTGCCGCACGTCGTGTGGATGCTCAAGTGTGACAAACGCCTGCGACTTCGAATTCCAGCGCCGGTGGCAATTGCTGAAGGCGGGAATGTCGAGGGCATAGCCGAGTAAAGTGCCGTGGGGCGTAGCGCAGTGCGCTAGCGGATCGAACCTGGACCGCGGCGGATGCAATGCCGGCCCCGACGTGTCGCGCCACCAATGTAAACCAAGAGTGACGCAGACAAGGAGGAACAGCAGCAACACAAAAAGCGCGAGGGCGGAAAGCCCAAATTGTTTCTTTCGAGCTGTGTGAATCATGGTGGACTACGCCTTTGTGGTAAAAGGTCTCAAATCCTTTTCTCACCAAACTGCCGCATAATAAAAAAGGTAGGAAAAAAAGAGCAACTACACGTTGGGCGTATATTATAGTAGCACGAAAGCATGTGCACATGGATGTGTGGGATTTGTCACACGGGAAAAGAAGCATGCACCTTCACGATGCAGAAAGAAAGGCCCAGGTTTGTAAAAGTAGTAGCGTCCGTGTTTCTTTGTGGAAAAAATATATTCACATAAGTTCAATACCTAAAGTAAAAACACAGCAAAGAGAAAAGAACAAACATATAATAATAATAAAAAATAACCACCACCACCACAAAAACAACAATTTTTTTCTTTTTATAACGTTTGCTTTAACTGCGTGGCGAAGTTCTCTACCGGTGTTAAAGATCACCACCATCCTCGTCTTCAAAAATGACGGTACGCTTGCCAATTCGAACCAGCCCCAAAACTTTAAGGCCCAAGGGGTCCTGCAGCACCGCCTCCCTGCCATTTCGCCACTGGAACCGCAGCACGCGCGAGTAGTTTTTGCCTCCCCAGTGCGTGTTGTCAAAGTTCTGCTCCGCAATGTACAACAACCGGGGCTGCAGCCGCAACTTCCGAAGCTCACGGAGTCGGTCCTCCCCACCCGCGGCCTCCACATCATCCTCCACCTGCACCACAACGGCAATGTGGCCTTCGGGGAGCTCATGCTCCATCTGTGCAGGCCACACAACAATGTCAAAGACCCGTGGCGCAAGGCGCTTACGTTCCTTCGCCGTCGTGGCCTCCTCGTAGTTTGCAACTCTGACTGGTTCATACCGTCGTTCCTTATCACGTTCCGCTGCTTCTAGCGGGTTGAAGAAGTACGGGGTCGACCACACCTCTTGAGGTGTTGGCATCTCAAAATATTTGATGCCTTTGTAATGAAAGAGAATGCGGGCGGTGTACTCCATGGACGACCAGGGGCTGCCCGAGCAGTAATTCCCCTTGGAACCATCGTTGTGGTCGGCAACAAGCTCTGGATAACCAAAACGTGTAATTACGAGTCGTTCCGCACTGTAACTGCTATGGCAGTTGCTAAAAGCCGGGACACTGAGAGCATACCCAAGAATTGTGCCATACCTCGTGCGACAGTGTTTCAGTGGGTCAAACAGCGGATTCCCCTCCGCCGAAAGAGGGTTCCTTTTGTTTCCCCTCCATCCCCATAGAAGTAAGACGCCGCAAATCAGCACAAACGCCAAACATGCAACTCTTCCAAGCGATTTGTTTTCCACGAATCCGGCAACCATTGTGTGTTGTTTTTGGCTTCTACTCAAACAATATCCCAAGAAAAAAAAAAAAAAAGATATCCACATCCCCGCTTGTAAAAAAAAAAAAAAGATGCATACGGGGAGCATGGCCCTATTGCTGTTTCACGTCCACACTCACGTGCTTGCTCAGGAAGACACCGGCGTACACGTGCTCGCTGCTTTCCAAGAAAGGCTTCGCGGCGTAGCAACAACAGAGTCCGTCGCACGCGGCTCAAACGCCGATACACGGTGCGTCAGAGATCGTCTTCCACATCTGTATTTTGCTTCGGCCTCCCGGGGCGCACTCGACCGATGATCGGAAGGCCCAAGGGGTCCTGCAGCACCGCCTCCCTGCCATTTCGCCACTGGAACCGCAGCACGCGCGAGTAGTTTTTGCCTCCCCAGTGCGTGTTGTCAAAGTTCTGCTCCGCAATGTACAACAACCGGGGCTGCAGCCGCAACTTCCGAAGCTCACGGAGTCGGTCCTCCCCACCCGCGGCCTCCACATCATCCTCCACCTGCACCACAACGGCAATGTGGCCCTCGGGCAGGTCGCGTTCTTCCATCGGTGACCACACAACGACGTCAAAGACCCGTGGCGCAAGGCGCTTGCGTTCCTTCGCCGTCGTGGCCTCCGCGGAGTTCAGCAGCTCGAGAGTTTCGTACTCCCGTTCCCTCACCATGGGCCCGTGGAACTCAAGCGCCAACCAGTACTCGGGGGCATCTGGCGCCCCATAGATGAAGGACATGCCTCGGTGCAGATAGTAGGTGCGGGCAATGAACTCCGCCGCCACCCAGCGGACCCCGGTGCTGCGGGATCGCAGGGTCCCCAACAAAAAAGGCTCCTGCCGCACGTCGTGTGGATGCTCAAGTGTGACAAACGCCTGCGACTTCGAATTCCAGCGCCGGTGGCAATTGCTGAAGGCGGGAATGTCGAGGGCATAGCCGAGTAAAGTGCCGTGGGGCGTAGCGCAGTGCGCTAGCGGATCGAACCTGGACCGCGGCGGATGCAATGCCGGCCCCGACGTGTCGCGCCACCAATGTAAACCAAGAGTGACGCAGACAAGGAGGAACAGCAGCAACACAAAAAGCGCGAGGGCGGAAAGCCCAAATTGTTTCTTTCGAGCTGTGTGAATCATGGTGGACTACGCCTTTGTGGTAAAAGGTCTCAAATCCTTTTCTCACCAAACTGCCGCATAATAAAAAAGGTAGGAAAAAAAGAGCAACTACACGTTGGGCGTATATTATAGTAGCACGAAAGCATGTGCACATGGATGTGTGGGATTTGTCACACGGGAAAAGAAGCATGCACCTTCACGATGCAGAAAGAAAGGCCCAGGTTTGTAAAAGTAGTAGCGTCCGTGTTTCTTTGTGGAAAAAATATATTCACATAAGTTCAATACCTAAAGTAAAAACACAGCAAAGAGAAAAGAACAAACATATAATAATAATAAAAAATAACCACCACCACCACAAAAACAACAATTTTTTTCTTTTTATAACGTTTGCTTTAACTGCGTGGCGAAGTTCTCTACCGGTGTTAAAGATCACCACCATCCTCGTCTTCAAAAATGACGGTACGCTTGCCAATTCGAACCAGCCCCAAAACTTTAAGGCCCAAGGGGTCCTGCAGCACCGCCTCCCTGCCATTTCGCCACTGGAACCGCAGCACGCGCGAGTAGTTTTTGCCTCCCCAGTGCGTGTTGTCAAAGTTCTGCTCCGCAATGTACAACAACCGGGGCTGCAGCCGCAACTTCCGAAGCTCACGGAGTCGGTCCTCCCCACCCGCGGCCTCCACATCATCCTCCACCTGCACCACAACGGCAATGTGGCCTTCGGGGAGCTCATGCTCCATCTGTGCAGGCCACACAACAATGTCAAAGACCCGTGGCGCAAGGCGCTTACGTTCCTTCGCCGTCGTGGCCTCCTCGTAGTTTGCAACTCTGACTGGTTCATACCGTCGTTCCTTATCACGTTCCGCTGCTTCTAGCGGGTTGAAGAAGTACGGGGTCGACCACACCTCTTGAGGTGTTGGCATCTCAAAATATTTGATGCCTTTGTAATGAAAGAGAATGCGGGCGGTGTACTCCATGGACGACCAGGGGCTGCCCGAGCAGTAATTCCCCTTGGAACCATCGTTGTGGTCGGCAACAAGCTCTGGATAACCAAAACGTGTAATTACGAGTCGTTCCGCACTGTAACTGCTATGGCAGTTGCTAAAAGCCGGGACACTGAGAGCATACCCAAGAATTGTGCCATACCTCGTGCGACAGTGTTTCAGTGGGTCAAACAGCGGATTCCCCTCCGCCGAAAGAGGGTTCCTTTTGTTTCCCCTCCATCCCCATAGAAGTAAGACGCCGCAAATCAGCACAAACGCCAAACATGCAACTCTTCCAAGCGATTTGTTTTCCACGAATCCGGCAACCATTGTGTGTTGTTTTTGGCTTCTACTCAAACAATATCCCAAGAAAAAAAAAAAAAAAGATATCCACATCCCCGCTTGTAAAAAAAAAAAAAAGATGCATACGGGGAGCATGGCCCTATTGCTGTTTCACGTCCACACTCACGTGCTTGCTCAGGAAGACACCGGCGTACACGTGCTCGCTGCTTTCCAAGAAAGGCTTCGCGGCGTAGCAACAACAGAGTCCGTCGCACGCGGCTCAAACGCCGATACACGGTGCGTCAGAGATCGTCTTCCACATCTGTATTTTGCTTCGGCCTCCCGGGGCGCACTCGACCGATGATCGGAAGGCCCAAGGGGTCCTGCAGCACCGCCTCCCTGCCATTTCGCCACTGGAACCGCAGCACGCGCGAGTAGTTTTTGCCTCCCCAGTGCGTGTTGTCAAAGTTCTGCTCCGCAATGTACAACAACCGGGGCTGCAGCCGCAACTTCCGAAGCTCACGGAGTCGGTCCTCCCCACCCGCGGCCTCCACATCATCCTCCACCTGCACCACAACGGCAATGTGGCCCTCGGGCAGGTCGCGTTCTTCCATCGGTGACCACACAACGACGTCAAAGACCCGTGGCGCAAGGCGCTTGCGTTCCTTCGCCGTCGTGGCCTCCGCGGAGTTCAGCAGCTCGAGAGTTTCGTACTCCCGTTCCCTCACCATGGGCCCGTGGAACTCAAGCGCCAACCAGTACTCGGGGGCATCTGGCGCCCCATAGATGAAGGACATGCCTCGGTGCAGATAGTAGGTGCGGGCAATGAACTCCGCCGCCACCCAGCGGACCCCGGTGCTGCGGGATCGCAGGGTCCCCAACAAAAAA